GCCAATAATACCCCCCAGTACATGAGCAGTACCATGGACTGATAGAGTATACTGCTTCGCCAATAATACCCCCCATGCGTTGCCATTCCTGAGGAGTTAGATGTTATTCCTCTATACCCTGTAAATTCACTGCCATATCCCACCCTCTAAACCAAAACACAGCCATGCAAACACAAGTGCTTCACGGTAGAAACATGAATGGAACAGAGGTGGCCAAGCAAACAACTTTTATACAAGATCTCCATTTGGTAACTTTTCCACAAAAAATTTAATAACTATTATAAACATATCAATATGAAATTGATAAAAAGAAAAAAATATATAAACAACTACAAGGCTACAATTAATCACAACATTCTTGAATAGACAGCCTTACTAGAAGCACCCGTTGACGGATAAGCTAGCCATTGTTGTGTTCAACCATATTATAGGGAGCCCAACGACCTAGTCCACTATGTCTCCACCAATTTGGACATTATAGTGAGCATGACTTGTTTAAAAATATGAGATTATGTCAAAAATATATATATAAAAAAAATTAATTGAATGTGACAATCAGTATACCCACTCATTACAAAAATAAAATGTTATTTGTATAATTAATTCAATAATTTTATGTATTTTCTTTTTAAAAAAATGCTCATCAGTAAAATAACAAAAGTGTCAACGTTTTAAAAATAAACAATGCAAGCAACTGTGTACTTATAGAAATTCAGTTTGCCTTTAATTCTGTCAAGTATTTTTTTCATTAATATATTTATTGCTATAAATATCAAGAGCAAGTAATTAAAAAAATATTTAAAGATAAAAAATTTCTTTGAGATCACTGCCAGCTGGTAGGGTGCATGGGATACTTGCTGCATTTCCACGCTGAATAGCAATGGAAATGCGTTGACCAAAGTATAGGCCAGCCTTCTGGTCACCAGAGGTTTCCACCAGCCGGCGTGAAATCTCTTTGAAAAGATTCATGACCGATATTCATTTATCCTATAATAGGAGGCCTAATCCACAATTTTTTTTTATATAACAACTTTGAAACAACTATCGGGTAGGTCCAGGATAGGTTTTGGCAGTTTATTATAAAACCTTGCACAATTTCCTGAAAATTAATTACCGACCTTTTTCAGTCGACACAGTGGCAGCAGTAATTTGTCCTTATGTCGTAAGTTTTTATTATTATAGTCGCTTACTTTGGCAAAAGATTTTAAACTTTACATACATAACATTTCCATAAATGTATTGAAAGAGGCAAAGCTAGTTATATTGATTTGGAAACTGAACCACTAAACTGATTCTGATAAAATTTCTACAAGACAATCTGTAGGTATCCACTCAGACAATAAAAGATTTTTTCAAATCAACAAACATAAAAAAATAGAATTGATTAACATAATATATAACATAAAAAAATAGATTGAATTGATGTTTGTTTATGTTTAAAAACAACTGTACCATATACTTTGTTAAAAAAAAAACTTTTATTTAACTATTATAAATTTTAAATAGTATCTTATAAACCAATACATATTTTTTTTTAGATAAAATAAATATATCGGTTATTTTTAATACAATACAACTACAAAAGAACCTGTGAAATAACTATTTCTGTTTTCATTTCATAAACTAAATATTTTACTGTGAACACCTGCCGTAGACAACAAAAACGAGTTTTATTGTTTCTATTATTCTATTGAACAGTACTGTATAATTTCATTATAAACTCTTGGAATATTACTAATTCCAGGAATATCTTGTACTGAATTGCTTATTTGAAAACAATTAAAAACGCCAACTCCTCCCTAGTTGTACAATTAGTGTTGTAACTCATAGTAACTTAATAACAGTTTTAATTGCTTTAATAACTAGCTAATACTGTTAAGAAACAGTTAGGTACATACCTACAGGTCTACGAACAACGGCATACATAATGAGGTAAACTATAATTTTACACCATAACCTAGTAATTAGCAGTACATTTATCATAAACACACAATGTAATATAATTCTAATATATTATACCTAATAATTAGCAATTTAGGGTAAGAGATATAAATTAGTCAATTATAAAAAATAACGATATAATAACTATATACCTCATTACTGGATTTTGATGCCTATTCTAATCTATTCAATAATTTACCAGGACTGGCTCTAGGGGAATTGCCTAAAGCGGCAAAAAAAAAGTGACGGTAAAATTGAGTATGAGGGCGGCTAATTGATAAAACAAAGTGTGTGCAATACTCACGTCAAACGTTACGCTTGTAAAAGATAACATTTGTCATCACCAACGTAGTACAATTATAAGGAGTCATTGTCAACAACTTAGCAGCAATAAATAAATAAACTCCTTGAGTCATAAGTTATTTTATGTTATAATTCTTGAAATATCTTCTGTAAATGTTGAAACCTATCATTACAATAACACATACCTATCTAAGTAATCAAAATAATATATTTCAGACTATATTCGTTATAATAAATGTAATAATCGTCATTCCCACAGTTTGGTCGAGCATTTAGAATTCAAAATTAATTAATTAATTCGTTTCTTTATATTCATTACCACAGACACATTTTTAATATGCTTAGATGATCTCGATAACAAAGTGGCAAGGCAAATTAGTGGCATATTGATAAATGAAGAATATTAAGACCCGAACAAATTTTGCATTTTTTTTTTAATTAAATTTTTATGATCTGTTTATTTAGTAGACTACGATCAAAATTGTTTCTTCTACTTCGAACTAATGTTTCTTTGAGAAAAAATTACTACTTTCATTATTAAAGCACTCCCTTAAAAAGTTAGTTCGATTTCACTCTAAGTATTTATTTTGCTTCTTCTTGATATAGAATATCAAATCCGTGACTTTAAAGTTTCAAAGCAATTCTATATTGCACAAATGGATATTCAACAATGTAGTTTAATAATTTATTCATGGACGGTCGTTTGAAAGGAAAATACAGTTATTAAGTAATGATGTAGCCCGATTGTATACTTCAGTCTATTATTATATCATCTGTGCTTCAATATAATATTGACAGTTTAGATACTTTGTTATTTCGATCGTTCGAAGTTTGAAATTTGAAATTACGGATTCCAAGTATTGTAACCAGGGTTTATTATGAGTGCTCAAAACTTGGCAGCATTACAGATAGAGCGCTTTGAATATTGATACTGAAATGGTAGTAAAAATTTGTAATAATACCCAAGAGTATAATATATAAGATTATACAAATATAAATTGTCTTGTCCTCAACGTATTCGGTGTTATAAGAAACCAGTCAACAACAGGGCCCAATCTAGGTAATTTTCCGTTACGGTCAAAATAAATGTTTGCCTATATAATGAATGAGTACTCTCAACGAACTCATTTTACCTCTGTGAGTCCGGCTGATGACTCCTTTTAAGTAATAGGAGATTTTAAATTTTGTTGTTATTTTTCGACCTATGTTTTGATGGTATGAATAATGTATAGTTTTATCAATCGATTTCAAAAAGAAGGTTGTATTTTGTTTTATGATTATTACTTCATAATTTTGTCAGTTGTAAATCAATTTGGAATTTCTTTTTTTCTGTAGATGTTTTATCATAATCAGTTCAGTAGTTTAAACTTTGAATTCAAAAAACAATTTTTACCAGAATTAAAGTCGATTTTCTTTTTTGAGGAATACAATTTAATTATTAATAAAATAAAATACGCAATTAATTTTTACTTTGCTTTATATAACTGAAACTTAACGACCTCCGTATTGCAATAATAGTTTGTTGAAAAGAGGTCCAGAATTTGATTGTCTATTGAATCAGATTTGAAAAATAACTTTTCTAAATCGGCTCAGATCTAAGCGTGGGTAAGAGTAGATAATATCTAGCAATATCTATATTTTATTTTCTATTGTTAGGGAGGCAAACGATCAGAGGATCCATCTGATGGAAAGCGGTTTACAGTTATAATATATATACTTATATTGGTCCAATAACAGACATATTAGATATCGATATTCTAATATTTAATATGGAAAGATGAACCCGCTCGTAATGAAATTCAACTGATATGGGCGATATCGCAATGGGTGGTCATTAATGTCCAGAAAAACTCAACATATAGATATCGGATATTCTACATGATATCTAGTACTGGGTGAAGCCAAATGTTTATTGACTTATTTTTCATGATTAACCTATCCTAAACTCAAGAATAATAAAATTATGATTGTGTGATACTTATAACAAGAAACCAGAAAAACTTAATTGATTCCTTGGAAACGATTTCAACAGGAGTTTGTCTTCACATAGCCGATTATTGTATTTTTAAACTAATTCAAGAACTAATTATTTTACAAATAACGATAACTATTGAAATAACTGTTTTAAATAACGATAAAGTAGCTTAATAACATATGATAATATAAAACAGAAACGGCGCATCAAATAACGAAATTTAATCGTTAAACGTTTTACAGTTTGGAATAAAATTAATGTACATATCATTGACGTTCCCATTAAAGTGGTTATAAAACGTTTTTATGACAGTGAAAAGATCATAATTACGATGTATCTAAGATGAGTTTATCTTAGCTAGTCCTCAAACTTTACAGACATACTTAATTGTGCTCAATTAGAAGCTTAAACACATGGCTTCATATATGGTTACCTGATGTATATGTATATACATATGTAGATATTGAATTAAGTTGATTTAAAATTAAATAAGTTAACAGAGAATATATAGAAAAATCATGATATCATTTATTGTAGCAACAATATAGCGGTAAACGAATAGATAACGTTATGACAACAATCCAATATCCCACTAGCCGTTTTCGCCAAAAAAAGAACTATATCTACAAGTTTACAGTGAGCTCTCTCGCAAACCTTACGTAAGCTCCTGCCATTCTTATCTAAACTGCTTTTTATCTACATACTCACACACCCAACGCAGACTTCCAATCGGAAAGCCGCAGCATCAAAAATAACCCACAAAACGTGGAACCACCTTTACCTTATCTGTTAATCACCGTTATTTTTTAAAATTTAATAACACGTTATTTATTGCTTCACGTTTATATTCAATTCCCTTTTTTAAAGTGCACTCAATTGACAGAATAGAGCGTTCGAAAATTGAAATTTGAAGTTTAAGCGCGAAAGCAAGCGATAGTGAAGTGCCGCGTGGCTATTTATCGGTTTTATAGTTGCATCCAGCCAGGGCGTTTCGTGTTTTGTTTTGGGGGTTGCAATGTTTACGTGGGGAAGAAGAGGCGTGCGGCCCGGCTGGCGACTGCCGGCGGAGTAATGGGGTCCATGCTTAAGATTGCGCGCGCAATATTAGGTAGTGAGAACCTGCGTCGATTTTATTACGTAGGTGTAAGGTTGAATGATGCCTAAGCACTTGCGGTTTTGGAAGCGTTGATTTTAATTATCGGTAATTGTGACCGTGGATGGACTACCAATGAGAGTGTATTAGATTATGGTCAACCGTCTCTTTGCTATTGTTTTGGTGAAGATAACCTAATACAGGTTGGGGAGGAAGAAGGATTTATCTCTCGATTTAGCAATCTGTTTGCTAGCAATATAGCCTATCAGGTCGACCTCCTCGCAGTTCCCCCTGCAATCGTAAGTGATTTATTGTAGGATTGGTCACGATAAGCTAACTGACCTGATTCATACTCACCTATCATCATTCACTGGTGCCCCGCCAGTATACATCGATGGGGTTATTATCATACCATTCTCATCAAATAAAAAAAAAACGTGACGCAGATTTTTTGTTACAAAAAAATGGTACAAAAGGCGGAATTATTGTCATATAGCATTCTCTCTCAGTCAACATTTGGCAAAACAAAAATTTAATTATACAGTGAAAAAAAATTAAAATTGTTGTAGATAAACAATTACACATACGTATGTACTCGTATATATTGACAAATCACAACAAATACAATGGAGAACTTCTTATAAGTAACATGTTAATTATAACAATTATATAATTAATAATAAAAAATATATAATAATAATATATTTGCCACACAATCATGATAATTGCTTAATCCTCAAGCTACAATTTATGTCATTAGAAAGCAGGACGCAATCCGAAACTATTTGGGACATAAATCCGAACACCCAAATCTCAGCCAATTTATATGCACAACATGTTCTTGTACTATAATCAATATATGTTTCTAAGATTTCCATTACATATAAACATTTGTTTTTTTTTTATACAACTTATAATGGCAAACAAGCTGACGGCCCACCTGATGGAAAGTGGTAACCGTCGCCTACAGACATGAGCAGTACCATGGACATAACAGATTTATACAAGCATTAAATACCTTTATAAATTTACCAGAGGGAGACTTTGTACAAAAATCGTTTGCTTAGGCACCTCTGTCCCATTCGTGTTTCTACCGTGAAGCAGTAGTATTTGCAAGACTGAGTTACGGTTTGAAGGGTGGGATATGGCGTAAATTTACAGGATACAGAGAAATAACACCTGACTCCCCAGAAATGGCAACGCATGGGGGGATATCATGGGCGAAACAGTATACTCTGTTATGTTCATGATACTGCTCATATCTATAGGCGACGATTACCATTTCCCATGAGGTGGCAGGTGGCTTCCGTCAGCTTGTTTGCCATTCTAAGTTGCATAAAAAAAACATACTGCTGTTGCCCAGTCACTTGCCAAACGTGGCAACTATTGGCTGATCCCGTCTTATTGGAGAGGCCTTTGTTCAGTAGTCGACAGTTAAGATATAATATAATATATTACTAATATATATTTATACATATATAGTCACAAAATAGAACTCTATTATGTAACTAACAATACCAAGCATTATCATTTATTCACATAGGTGGTTACTATACTAACAATGAAACTTCATCAGGGACAATTCTCGTGAATGGAGTACTTCTTTGGACCCAAAGGTTCGAGCTTAAACCGGTATCTAACCGGAAAACCGGTATTCGTGGAATGAGGGTCCGTAAGAGGTACCTCTCTTTTCATATTATAATGAACAACGTAGCCTACGACTGTGCTTACAAAAGAAACAGTATCGGATTCAGGGCTTTATAAAAAGGGCGTAATAAAAAATATTTCAAATCTTATTTATTTATTTATTCATAGAAACACCAACAGCATATTGATTTATAACATATATAACACATTTTAAATACAATACAATATTAATGTGCATGCCTATTAAATGTATTCACAGTATTAACTTTAACATAAATATACAGTATGAAAAGAAATAGACCAATTTTAAGGAATTAGGTAATAACAGATTACAAATAATTTAAAAGTTACATTCTTAATTTAGAAATACAATATAACCGAAGTTGTGAGTAATATCATTAAATATAATAATCAGTGAATTAAATTAGCAAGTGTTAAAAACCTATTTTAAACCATTTGAATTTTTTTATTTAAATTTGAACTTAATTATACGTATTTACATTACAAAGATCAAAAGGTTAATTATAATCCTACTTGCGCATTCATAAAACATATATTCAATCCCAATGCGGTTCCACTAAAAATTTTAAAATCATTCATTCAAAGGCATTAAATTTTGCAAAATTTAATATAAATGTACCTACAAATGCAACTGTATACAGCTATTTTCCACGGCTTTGTCTGCGTTAATAGTATTCTATTTGATAAATTATGACATAACCTATCCGTGTACCAAATTTTATTCAAATGCTTTTCGCCGTTTAAACATAATTTAATAACAAACATCCAAACATCTTTGAAAACTTCCATATTTATAATATTAGTATATAGTAGTATTTATAATATTTATAAATAAAGTGCAGGGAGTCAGTGATTGCAGGTGGTTGAGGACCGTTCCTTATGTAGAAGTCTACGGTGTCAGTCTATGGGAGAGGCCTATGTGTAACAGTGGTCAGATAATGGCTGATATGATAATGATGAGTGTTATCGAGATATGATAAAGTTAAAAGCAAAAAATGCAAAATTGCAATACATCTAGCTAAAAAACTCTTCAAAACATAGCGGAAAGAGTATCTTTAGACTCGTCAATATGCACATAATACCTCTAATATTACAGGTATTCGTAAACTATTGTAATAACTAATTATTGGGGGAGGAGAAGAGAGCTATATATCAGTTTTATTAAAAAAAAAAAGAAATATTTCCCTGTATTATTGAAAATGTTTTAATAAAATCTATAAGTAAAAATTATTTGTCGAATGTATGTAAGCGCATCACTTGAGAACGCCTGCACTTCTTTGGCTAATTCATTTGCTGTATTTATAAATATATCAGGGCAAGGTTTGTATAAAAGAGAATCTGTGAGAAAATTTACGGAAAAGTGAAAATTTTGGATTAAGTATCTTCATATGAAAAAACAAGTGAATCAGTAAGACAATACTACGAGTTTCTTCTGTCTCGCTTGCAGAAATATCTTTGTAATACATCCATGCGAAGCCTGGGCGAACAACTAGTAAATAATAAATTCTATAGAATTAACGGTAAATAAATAAATTATAATTAATTAATTTATTTACAGTTATGTTTATCCGTCGGCCACCTAAATCCGTCTCTGCTATATGAATACACAAAAGTATGACGAAATCACCATTTGATTGGGTCGTCCATTCAAAGGCAATATCGCGCGATATTGAATAATTTTTCTTTTTTTTTTTAGTACATTTGTTCCGTTGTGGAACAGGCTAAGGTCGGAGACCATGCTGCCTAGTCTTCAATATGATAGTTTGTCTGGTGTCATAATTTTTCTTTTATTATGTCTTTAATATTTACAAGTAGAGATGGATAATATCCAATATCTATATATCAAGTTCTTTTGGATATTGATGATCCTTTGCGACATTGTCCATGCCAGTCGAATATTTGAGGGAGACTTCGTAAAAAAGTCGATTGCTTGAGTACCTCTGTCCCATTCCACATGTCGAACTATTATCGTTATGTCACAATATTCACTTTTTAAAATGATGTAAAAATGTCCACCCATGCGAAGCTAGGTCGGGCCGCTAGTATATAATATATAGATAGATTCATTTGTATGAGTATTTTGTGTAGGGGAGTTTTGTTATGAGATCATAACGGTTTATCATGGCGTGTGTAACCGACGTTACACAAAACTAGCCCCTTCCGAAAGAGTTTTAATTGCGTCATTTTAGTTAGCCACGCCACGTCGTATATTAAACGCGGTATTCGTATCGAGTATGATAGACGATATTAGGGGAAAGAGATTGTTAGTAACGGGTCCTAGCAGTCCCATTGCTAGCAATATACCCTGTCAGGTCGATCTTCGCGCGGTTCTCCTTAGAAACCATCGTGGTTATTGTATTTTATTTATACCCATTTTTGTCGGGTTCCTCACGATGGGCTAACTGATCTGCCTTCATCCTCATCTATCATCCCTCACTGGTACCCTCCCAGTGTATACCGATAGCGCAGGCGAGATTCCCATTCTATTATTGTTATTTTTGATTTCTTGGGTACCTCTGTCCCATTCATGTTTTAACCGTGAAGCAGCTGTGTTTGCATAGCTGTGTTTCGGTTTGAAGGGTGGGATATGGCGTGAATTTACAGGGTACAGGGGAATAATACCTGAGCCCTCAGGAATGGCAACGCATGGGGGGTATCATGGGCGAAACAGTATACTCTATTAAGTCCATGATACTGCTCATATCTATAGGCGACGGTTACCACTTTCCATCAGGTGGACCGTCAGCTTGTTTGCCATTCTAAGTTATATAAAAAAAAATAAAAAAATATCACCCATTAAAAAAAACAGCCCCATTGTTAACAATGTACCCTATCAGGTCCACTTCCGCGCGGTTCCTCCTGAAAACTGTCGTGATTAATTGACGAATTGTTTACGATGAGCCAAATAACATACCTTCTTCCTCATTTGTCATCTGTCACTGGTACCCTGCCAGTGTATACCAATAACATTGGCAGAGATACCATTCCATTTTCATACATTAAAAAAAAATAAACGATATGCAATATTAGAAGTATTTATTTATTTATCTAATGATCACATAGTGGTCTAAATTCAACCAATACATATATTATAATAAATTAATTTATTATGGTTATGTTTGACATTCAATAAGACTATAGACAAATAATACTAAAGAAAACCAGTATTAATCTGTTCTCAAGTTGACCATAGACTTTAAACAAAAGAGTATATATACACACACTATCATGTATAAAATACATGATAGTGTGTGTATTTTTTTATTAATTAATTTATTATGCATAATTT